GAGAATAATGATAGACATGAAATGAACCCAGGCATCAAAAAGTATGAATTATTAGAATACATAAATACATTCACTGTCCAGCAAAATGAATGAAAAAGATCACAACATTATTATGAAATGTAAGTCACCTAAAAGAAAAATTCTAAAATCTGAAAGAGACAGAAATTATATAATATTACATACAAAACATACAATTTATATATACATTTGATTATATATTTTACATATATGTGAAGAAGATAATGAATCAAGAATCAGGCTCAAGCACAAAGACCTAAGTTTGAGCCCCAGTACCAAAAAAAAAAAAAAAAAGAATCAGACTGAATAAATTTTTAATAAAAATTGTGCATTAATAATTTATGGAATTTTTTTGGGTGTTTTTGAGACAGGGTCTCAATTCATAATGGCCTTGAACTCATTATGTAGCACAGGCTGGGCTCACACTCCCAGGAATCCTTCTGCCCCAGTCTCCTGAGTGCTGGGTCTACACGCATGTGCCACTATGCCTGACTTAGACTAGTGATTTTAAATTTCAGAGCAAGAGTTCTCTATCTGTCCAAATTCAACCAAGATGAGGGAAAACTAAATGCATTTTCAGACCTGTCTATAACCTGGTATAGACAGGTCTGAAAACTTCTTTTAGGATGCCACGTGAGAATATACTGTAGTAAAGAAAGGTATTCAAAAAAAGAAAGAAGGAAGGGGCCTATCAAACAATGTACTTAACTAGGAGAAGACAAAATGGTAGTTTTACACAGACTTAGAGATTATTTATTTATTTGTACTGGGGATTGAACTTGGGACCTTGTGCTTGCAAGTCAGGTGGTGGAACCACAGAGCTAAATCCCTGGCCCAGAGATTATTTAATTCAGATAGAAACAAAAAGATAGTGGACTTCAGTAGGAAATAAGGAAAACTGAATTTTTGATTGAGAACTTGAGAATATTTGAAGATGTGGTAAGGCCAACTCATAAGGTTAAAGGTTGGATCTAATCTTGATTTTAGGAACATTCTTTCAGTGCCAGAGGAAGGACAACATTAGATCCAAAGAGCAAGGAAGATAGTCCTCACCCTGAGTAACATAGCTCTGCAATGAACAAAATTTTGAGAGAGACTCAGCCCCTGAGAAGCAGTAAATATCCCGGCACTTATGGGTAGGTAATAATCTTTTTCTATTAAATGTGGCACTGGAAAAGACCCTTGTGACTCAGATTGAGCAAAACCAAACTAAAATTACTTCATGCTTCAAAGAGACAAAACAAGAATATTGTCCAAACCAAAACAATGACTAAGGACATCCATTTCCTTGCACATATGAGTAAACACTGCTTCTGTATATTACAGTTTAATTTCCCTTTGTTCTTTTCATTTCCTAAAAAAATTCACTAAGATATCCCACATTAAATTAATCCCACTTCCTGAAAGCTTGTAGTACAGAGCTAACCCATACTTTCCCGAACTCTCCCTCAAATCACCTATCATAAGCCCCAATTCTACAATACCATAAAAAGAAAAGTGATTCACTGTTTTCTGTTGTGTGCAGCCTCCTTAATTGCAATGAATTAATAAACCCATCTTTGTATTTTGTGTTATGCTAGGGATTAGACTCAAGACCTTACACATGCTAGGTGAGTACTCTTCCATGAAGCTACACCCCCAACTCCTTTCAAAATTTTATTTTGAGGCAAGATGTCACTGTGTTTCCCAGGCAGATTCTCTTCCTTTAGACTACTGAGTAGCTGGAATTATAAGCATGCAACATGGCATTGGCTTACACCTTTGTTTTAATAAAGTGTGTTCCTGGTGATCTTTTGCTCTGGGGCATTTATAATTTATATTTTCATGAAAAGTAAATTTAAAATATTCATTTTCACATTCTAAAACATATCTATACACAAGGAATCCTTATAGGTGTAAAGATGATGTAAATAGCTTTGGTTATAAAAAGGTCATCAAATTTGACAATTTAAAAGTAGATGTTCAACAGAGGGAGGCTAAAAAGCATAAGGGAGAAACATACAAAAGGAATAATAAGAATGCTATTCATTTTGTTTAAAAATCCAAATTAACTTATTATTAAACACTAAATGATATTTTCAGTTTGACCAGAAAAGGCTTAAGAATAGTCACATAGCTAGATGGGAAGAATGGATAATTGAAGTTACTTTAAGTGTGGTAGTTATTTGGCAATCATAACAGGAGACTGTCTAAAGTTTATGAACCTCATTGTATTAGTTTGCTATAGTTGCCACAACAAATACCATGAAAAAATGTATTTCCTACAGTTCTGGAGGCTAGAAGTTTTTTCTTGTTGTTGTTTTTTTGTTTTTAGTACCAGGGATTGAACTCAGGTCCTTGAGCTTGCAAGGCAGGCAGTGGAACCACTGAGGTAAATCCCCAGACCATGTTCTTATTTTTTGTTTGTTTGTTTTTTTGGTACCGGGGATTGAACTTGGGACCTTGCACTTTTGAGGCAGGTGCCGGAACCACTGAGCTAAATCCCTGGCCCTGGCTAGAAGTTTAAGATTAAGTTACTGACAGTGTTCATTCTGAGGCCTTTCTCTTCACCTGATATATCATCTTCCTCTGGTGTCTTCATGTCATCATCTGTCTGTTTATCACGTCTATGGTATCTCTCTGTCTCATGTAAACTTTTCTTAGAAAGATATCAGTAATATTGGACTAGGGCCTATCCTAACTACATCATTTTAACAAATTTCACCTCTTTAAAACTGTATCTCTAAATACAGTAATGTTCTGGGGTTTTTTTAGATAGAGTCTTGATATGTAGTTCTGGTTGGCCTTAAAGTCACTATTAGCCCAGGCTGGTCTTGAACTCATAGCAATCCTCCTGCCTCAGACTCTGGAGTACTGAGATTACAGGCATGCAGCGCCACACCTAGCTTAAATAGTTACATTTTGAGGTGACCAGGGTTACCCCTTCAATGTATGAATTTGGGAAATAGGACACAAATCGGCCCATAAAAATTACAAACTTATTCCAAAGTGATAAGGAAGTAAATATAAAAAGAGCTTTAAAAAGCTTTAAAGGTGCCTTCCAATAGGTTAAATGAAAAAACAGACACTATCACATTTTGGCTAGAATTTGGAGGATTTCATATATTAAGACATTGCTTAAAGAATGAGAAACTAGAGAAGGGGAAGTGGGAGGGGTAGGGAAAAGAAAGGAATAAATATGACAAAAGGAAAAAAGGGAAACAAAGTTTTTGTAAATAGGGAGGGGTGGGAAGGAGGGCAGGGGAATGGGGAAAAAAAGAACCAAGATATATCATGTAAAGATACAAATTCCCAATGATGAATGTCATCATATTATATACCTAAAATATACCAATAAACTTAATGAATAAAAAAAGATTGCTAATTAGCAGTATGAGTTAATACAACCACTTTGGGAAATTTTTTTGAAATAACTATTAAAAGTGTACTTAATACTTACTAAAAGCACATAAATTATATCCCTGGGTAGATAACCCACAGAAATACATATGTGAAGTGTGATAAAAATATAGTGAACATTAAAAAAAATTTAAAAATTATTACAGTAAAAGACATATTGCCCTTATAAGACATACCACCAAAATACTCCCTCTCGCTTTGAACACACTTATCCTGTGTCATTCTCACTACTTTCTGAAGCAGTTCTGGAAGTCCTCTTTCATGAGGGCCTTTAATTGTGCTATAATGGGTACCTTAGTGTCCTGTATTGATTCAAATGTTTGACTTTGTTGTTCTTTTCCTTTGGAGAAGAGCCTGAAGTTACATGGTGCTAGTTCCAGTGAATAAGGTAGATGAGGACACACTACAGAGTAATATGTTTATTTTCACTGGATGACTTTCAGCACCATTCACTATATTTTTGATCACATCCCATAAAAACACTCACAAAAGAGAACTTCTAGAACTGCCTCAGAAAGTGGCAAGAACATATAGGAAAAGGGTGTTTGAAGTGAGGGAGAAGTATTCTCAGGGAGAATAATGGCAATATGTCTTATTGTAATAAAATTTTAATTTTTAATTTTTTATTTTTAAAAAATTTTAATTTAAATATTCACCGTATATTTTATCTCATATCCTCCCAAAGGTGTATACAAGAATGTTCATAGGGGTATTACTCATAACAATCAAACCTTGCATCAATCCAAATATCTACGTCCAGAATGTATAATAAATTGTGGCATACTCATCCAGTGGAAACTATACAGAAATGAGAACGAAAGAATTAAAATTAAAAGCAGTACCAAATTTCAAAAACATAATGTCAAGTGAAAGAAATAGAATACAGAGCAGCCGTCAGGATGGCCAAGCGGTCTAAGGCGCTGGATTCAGAGCACAAAGCAGTTGATATTCTACTATTCCATTTATATATATTCACAGACATAAACCCAAACTTATTGGAAGTCAGCATGTTTGTGATACCTGGGATAATAGTGATTGTAAAGAGTAATTTGTGTTGCACCTGGACTTCTACTAATGTTTCACATTGTGACATCATGTATGCTTACTTCAAATAATTGCATTGAGATGAACATTAATGATTTTAGGAATGCTATAATTCAATTTAAAAATGTGTTTAAAAATGTATACCAATCAGAATCAGAGCTGTTAAAGAAGAGTAGCTACAAGATTATTACACTTTATCACATTTTCTTACATAACATCATATTTCAGTTGTTATATCTGTTAAAAACAATTAAAAAGAAGAAAATAATGTAAAATAGCTTGTATTTTCAATTTAGCATCGAATATACTGAAAGTATGAAGAAATAAAACGCTTGGAATATGTAGAATATAGGAATAATTATTTGATTTTATTAAGATGGCTCATCAGAACAAATACCAACCAGAAGGTAAAACAACAAATCTCAGGAAAGCCAACAGCATGCATGGATTTGGGATGACAATATGTAAATGAGTGCAATAAAGTAGAATTGAGCTGGGGACAATTCAGTTATAAAGTACAAATACACTAGGTCATCGGTTCTATCCCTAGCATCACAATAAAAAGTATAATTTTGTAAACTGCTCAAGATAAAATTCAACGGAAAATCCATTACAAAAGAAAAATCCAGGCTATATCTGAAGGCGAAATGTTTATCCACAACATTTCTATATCTAAGTACTTTAGGGATAAATGGCAGAAAACACTGCATCATCATCAGATCGCTATTGGAACCCAAAACTATTACGGACAATAGCATTTGCTTCTGTTTCTTCCCCAAAAGCCTGGGGCGGGAGGTTGGGGAATAATGGCTTGAGGAATTTGAACTCATTTGTCCCAGGGCCTCCAGTGAGACACACCTCATAGCGGTAGCTGTGGGACAGGGTCCCCGTGCCGCTGTCGTCCCCCAGGGGGCCCGGGAAGGGGCTCTCGGGCGCCGAGCCCCGACCCAGCGCGGCCGGCCCGCTCCTCCTGCACAGCCGCAGCGCCACGAAGAGCAGCACCGAGAAGAGGAAGAGCGAGGACACCGAGGCCAGCGCGACGACCAGGTGGACGGTGAGCGGGTCGGCCGGCACGCGCTCGGGCGCCGCCCCCGGCAGCGGCAGGTAGGGCTGCGAGAAGCCGTCCACCAGCAGCACGTGCAGCGTGACGCTGGCCGACAGCGGCGGCTCGCCATTGTCCCTGACCAGCAGCAGCAGCCTGTGCCTGGGCGCGTCGCGCTCTCCCAGAGGCCTGGCGGTGCGCACCTCGCCGTTGTGCGCCCACACGCTGAACAGCCCGGGCTCGGTGGCCTTGAGCAGCTGGTAGGACAGCCAGGCGTTCTGGCCGGCGTCTGCGTCCACCGCCACCACCTTGGTGAGCAGGTAGCCGGCGTCGGCGGCGCGGGGCAGCAGCTCTGTGCAGGGCGCGGACGCGTTGTGCGGCGGGTAGAGCACGAAGGGCGCGTTGTCGTTGGCGTCCAGCACGCGCACGCGCACGAGCGCCTCGCTGCTGAGCGCGGGCGAGCCTCGGTCGGCGGCGCCCACGCGGAACTCGAAGGCGCGCAGGGTCTCGTAGTCCAGCGCGCGCAGCGCGAACAGCTGCCCGGTGTCGGCGTTGATGGACACGAGCGAGGCGAAGCCCGGGTGCGGGTCTCGGGGCGGTGGCGGCGGCGGCGGCAGCAGGGAGTAGGTGACCTGGGCGTTGGTGCCTGAGTCTCTGTCTGTGGCGCTGATGGTGCCGATGTACAGGGCGGGGCTGTTGTTCTCGGGGACCCACAGGGTGTAGGAGGTTTGGGTGAAGGTCGGGGCGTTGTCGTTGACGTCGGAGACCTGCACGGTTATGTTGTGCTGGGTTTTGAGCCTGGGTGTCCCCAAGTCGGTGACCGTGATGGTGATGTTGTACTCGGCGCTGGTCTCTCTGTCCAGTGGGCTCTCTGTCACCAAGGTATAGAAATTCATAAAAGTCGGTTTCAGAACAAAGGGCAGCTTGTCTGGAATAGAACAAACCATCTTTCCGTTGTTCCCGGAATCTGCATCAGAAACACTGAAAATGGCAACCACAGTCTCTGGAGAGTTTTCTGGGATGGATCTGCTGAGCGTGGACATGGTCAGTTCAGGGGCGTTGTCATTCACATCCAACACCTCTATAGCTACAGTGCATTTTCCTGAAAGTCCTCCACCATCTGTAGCTGAAATTTCTACGTTATAATACCGAGTTACCTCAAAATCTAATGTTCTTTTCAGATGAATCTCTCCTGTTCTTCCGTCTATTACAAATGGTTCCGTAAAGGCATTGCCTTGGAATAGAGCGTAGATTACACTCCCATACGTTCCCGCATCTAAATCTCGGGCGGAGACGACGGCAACCAAAGAATTAAGGGGACTGTTCTCAGGAATCTGTACTTCATAGAGCGACTGTAAAAATTCAGGAGCGTTATCATTGATGTCCACGACTTCAACGAGGATTATGGCGGTCCCGGAGCTGGGCGGAACCCCACCATCCAGCGCCATGAGTGTTAAACTGAACTCGGGCTGATCCTCCCGATCCAGCGCTTTATCCAGCACCAGCTCTGGATATTTTCTCCCATCTCCGCGATTATGAGTAACCACATGAAAATGGGAGTTGGGGCTGATTGTGTAGTTCTGAACAGTGTTGCTCCCTACATCAAAGTCCTGGGCTATTTTCAAAGGAAACACAGTCCCTGGCTGGGCGCTCTCTGGGATTTTAAGGAGCATTTCCTCCTCTAAGAACTCTGGAGAATGGTCATTTATATCTGTGAGTTGCAGATCGCCTTGGAAAAACTGCACCGGGTTTTCCAGTAACAGTTGGAAATGCAACACACAGGGTTCTGTCGCCCCGCACAGCCCCTCCCGGTCTAGCTTTTCATGTAGAAGTAAATTGCCGGTCTTTACATCCAGCTGCAAGAGCTGTTTGTTTCCTTTGTAATGGATTCGCGCGCCTCGAGTGGCCAGTTCCCCCACCCTGAGCCCCAGATCTTCTGCCAGGTTGGCCACAAGGTAGCCACTTTCTGTTTCTTCTGGCACCGAATACCTAATTGCCTCAGAGCCAGCCCCCCAGAAAAACAACAGCATAGCAAGAAAAATAACTTGCCGTTTGTGCAGCGTCGTTGCTAGTGCAGTCTCCATTGTTCAGACCAGGTCCAGAAGGTGCAGTTCCTTCACCTCATTGTACAGTCCACCTAGATGCTTTGGGTAAATAATCGTGAATTAAATCTGTTAGACTAACTTGCATCTAAGAAGGTGCTTTCCTTCTCTGAAGATCTGTTCCCTAGATGTTCTCTAAAATACTTCCTTCCTTTAAGGAGCATTCAGAATTCTGATTTCCAGCATAATGGCGTCCTGGGTCTGCAGAGCCATTCTTCACACTCTTAGCCTTCAGCGCCACCAAGCGTCCATATTTACTCTGCATAGTATTTGACATTTTATTTTACACTAAATTCCAACTCTAGTCGTGTACTTTATTATTATCCTACTAATTCACAGAAGCACCTTAGATGTATCTCTAACTCTTAGTGATTATAAGTTCTCAATACACGTTTCCTCAGTTTTCAGTGAAAAATACTTTTGAGAACAAACCAAAATGATGTTATTCTCCTCCATAATTACATTTGAGGACATTTAGAAACTCTTTTGTTGGTTTAAAATTTGATCATATTCAAAACATGGTATGAAAACATTTTTCAAGTTTTACAAATTTACTTTCATTTTGAGGCACAAAATCCAGAAAAGGATACAAATAATTCTACCACTCAGTGAATTTTTCACAAAGTTCGTATACTTTTAACAGAACCTAGATTAAAAATGAAACACTAGTAAATTCCAAGAAAATCCATTCTGCCATTGTCTACTCACTACCCTCCCCTCAAAAGAGAAGCACTGTCCTGACTTCTATTTTCATGAGGTTTTTTTCTTATGTTTAAAAAAATGTTTTTCAAATAGAATAATAGAATATTACTGTGCTGTGTCTGTCTTCCTTCACTCAGTATTTTATTAGGAAAGTGATCTGTGGCATGTTGTCCTAATTTGTTTTATTATTACCTCTTAGTATGAGTGTATTTTATCCATATACCATGATTTTTAAAATATATTCTTCAGTTGTTGAACATTGTTTTTTTTTTCTAGTTTTGAACTTTTTCCGTTTTGTAGCACTGCTCTGAACATTCTTGTACCTGTCTTTTGGTGACCACATGTTGGTATTTATCTTGATATATTTATAATGGTTGGATTGTTGTATACAAAGTTGTACATTGGTATTTGGCTTCAGCAAATATTGTGAAGGATTTTTCAAAAGTACTGTACCAACACCAGCAAAGTATGAGAGTTCCAGTTTCTTCTTAACCCCGCCAAAATTTGCTGTTGTCATTTGAATTTTAACCACTCTACTGTGTGGTGATATGTTATAATTTTAATTATCATTTCCCTGGTGCTTAATGAAAATTTCACACTTACTGACTTATTAATGTTCTTGTTCCAGTTTTGTGATTTGCATGTTCAAATCTTTTGTACATTTTTCTCTTTGTGGCATTTTCCTGTTTGCTTGTTAGTCTACAGAAACATCTTCTGAATTCTCAGTATAAGACTTTATTTTAGGTGTATGTATTACAAATATCTCTTCTCACTCTATGCTTTGTATTTTACTGTATTATAGTCCCTTTATTCAATAACACTTCTTAACTTTAGTTTCCTCTGATTTGTCAATATTTTTCTTTTGGTTAGCACTTTTATATTCTATTTTATTGCATTCTCTAGAGTCATAAAATATTTTTATATGATATGTGAAAGAGTAATTTATTTTAATATTATTTTTCATATTTAAAGCTATAATCAACTCAAAATTTTTTCCAATTAATATTTTTAATATTTTCAAATTTTCCTCTAAATGCCCATGTGGCATGTATTGAAGATATGAGTTGTTCTCATTATTTCTGAATTATCATCAGTATCATAAATCTGGTAGTCACAGGTCTGCTCAAGTATTCCATTTTTCTCTTTGTTTATCCTGCAATACCATATTGCTTCAACTAATATACATTTATCATAAGTTATATTTTCTGAGATGTAAGTCTTCCATTTTTATTACAATGTAGTCTATTTTCAAGAGCAGTTTTAGATTCACTAAAAAAAAAAGTACATGGGTTTCCTATATGTCCCCGTTCCCATATACATACAACTCTCCCTATTGTCAGTATCCTCTGCCAGAGTGGCACAGTTCTTACGATTGATGAACATATATTAGCACATCTTTATCATCAGATGCATAGTATACATTAGTGTTCACTCTTGGCAGTGAACATTCTGTGGGTTTGGCCAAACTGAAAGTAGCACAAATTCACCTTTGTGGTATCAAACCAAGTAGTTTCACTGTCTAAAATATCCTATGCTTTATATATTTATTACTCCCTCCCCCAGAATACATGGATATCTACTAGTATTTCCGCAGTGTTGCCTGTTCAAAATATCATATAGTCAAGATCATTCAGTATGGAGTCTTTTTGGGTTGGGTTCTGTCACATTGGAATATGCATTGAAGTTTTTTTCAATTACTTTTCATGGACTGATTGTTCACTGCTTCTTGGCATTGAATAAAAATATTCCATTGTCTGCTGAATCACAATTAAATTTTCATTCACCTACTGAAGTTCATCTTGGTTGCTTCCAAGTTTTAAAAATTATGTATAAAGCTTTTATAAACCTCCCTGTGCAACTTTTTGTGTGGACATAAGTTTTTAACTTCTTTGGAAAAATACTCAGGAGTATGATTTCTCAATTACATAGTAAGAGTATGTTTGGTTTATCATAAAATGCTAAACTGTCTTCCAAAGTGGCAGTACCATTTTCCCTTTATTTTAGGAGTGAATAAATTTCCTATGTCTTCTGTGGATATAGCCACACTAGGTATATTTTAGCTAGTGTTTGTGTTATAAACTTGTTCCATTCTTTTATTTCCCTTAAATTCTTTTATTGGTACATTTTAGATATACAATACGTTTGCATTCATCATTGGGTGCTTGTACCTGTACATGATGTATCTTGATTCTTATTTTTTCCCCATTACCTGTGCGCCCTTCCCTATTTACATAGACTTCATTTCAATTTTTTTTCTTTTCTCATAATTTTTCCTTTCCCTTGTTTTCTTTCCCCTCCCCCTCCCACCATCCCTACCCTTTTGGATCTTTTCTTCCTATTTCAAATGATCAATTATTCATTTTAATCATTTTAATCCTTATTTACACTTTCAGTTTCTCACACTAGAGAAACTATTCGGTATTTACACGTGTGTCCTATTTATTTAACTTGTTCCATTCTTAAAGGTTCAGTCTTTCATAGACATATCATATGCACTTATTTGGTTATATATATAATTGAGTTTTTTAAAAATGTGGTTAACAGTTTTGGCTGTTTAATTGGATTACTTAATCCAGTTATAATTAATATAATTTGTGGTATTTTTCCATCTATACTTACTACATAATTGTTTTTCCATTTGTTCGGAAAGTTATGATCTTCTTTTGGATTATTAAAATGCTTATGATTTTTTACAAAATATTTCCTTCAATTAATAGTTATTCTTTTAATGGTATCCAAGAAATTACAGCATGCATTCTTTTTTGTACTGGGGATCAAACTCAAGACCTTATGCTTGCGAAGCAGGCGTGGTGCCACTGAACTAAATCCCGAGTCCACAGCATGCATGTTTTATCTTTAAGAATATAATAAAATTATTAATATTTCTACTTTATGACATTATGCTCACAAACTTGGAACTCCTTATATCTCTGCCTTTTATGTTATTGTTATTGTGAATTTAAATTTCAAATATATTTTAAATCCTTTAAGGAACTACTATATAATCAATATTTATTTATATTTACTCTTCTGTCACTTTTTCTTCCTTCCTCCAGTTTTTAAATCATTACATTTTTTGGTGCAGTTTAGATATACATAATGATCACATTCATTGTATGGAATTTGTACCTGTACATGATATATCTTGATTCTTATTTTTTCCCATTACCCTCCCTTCTCTTCAACCCCTCTTCCCCTTCTTATTTGCAAGAACTTTGTTTCCATTTTATTTCTCTTTTCTCATGTTTTTCTTTTCCCTTCCTTTCCCTCTCCCCCTCCCTTGTGCCCCTTCCCATTTGAATATTTTCTTCCTATTTCACAATACCTGTTATACATTTTGGTCTTTATTTACACTGTCAGTTTCTAACACCAGAGAAACAATATGATATTTACATATGCATGTATGATTTACTTCACTTAAGAGTATGGCCTCTAGGTTCATTCATTTAGCTACAAATGTCTCAAGTTTATCCTTGTTAATGCTGAGCAGTACTCTACTGTATAAAAAAAACACATCTTCTTTATCCATTCATCAGATGATAGGCATTTGGGCTGTTTCCAAGATTTAGGTATTACAAACTGTGCTGCTATAAACATGGGTGTGCATATACACTGTGGTATGATGCTTTTTTTTTTTTGGTACTGGGGAATCGAACTCAGGACCTTGCACTTGCAAGGAAGGCACAGTGCCGCTGAGGTAAATCCCTGGCCCAGATGATTTTAATTCTCTTGGGAAAATACCCAGAAAGGAAATAGCTGAGTCAAATGGGATCTCTAATCCTAATTTTTTGAGGAATCTCCACACTGATTTCCACAGTAGTTGCACTAGTCTGTACTCCCACCAACAGTGGAGATTAGGTCTTTTAACTGGGGGGGAGGTTGATTTTTTTCAGTTCTTTATATATTCTAGATATCAGCCTTTTGTCTGAGGAACACCTGGCAAAAAAATTTTTCCACTCTTTTGGTTGTCTCTTTACTCTGTTGATTTCTTTTGCTTTGCAAAAGCTTTTTAGTAAGATAAGATCTCAGTTTTTGATTCATTGTAATATATCCCATATGAACAGGGTTTTGTTCAGTAAGTCTTTACTCACACCTATGTCTTCAAATGTTCCACGTATTCTCTTTCCCAGCAAATTTAGTGTTTTAAAAAAAATTTAGATCTTCGATCCATTTTGATTTTAGTTTAATGCATGGTGAGAGACATAGGTCTAGTTTTAGCCTTTAGCATGTGGAAAGCCAGTTTTTCCAGCATCATTCATTAAAGAGGCTATCTTTTTTCCAGTGAAGGTGTTTGGCCCCTTTGTCAAAGATATGTTTGCTGAGTGTGTTTGGAATTGTTTCTGCATCTTCTATTCTGTTCTACTGATGCTTGGGTCTGTTTCCCCCCCCGCCCCCCCAGTACCATGCTGGTTTTATCACACTAGCTCCGTAGTGTAATTTCAAGTTAGGGATTGTGATGCACCCTGTCTTGCCTTTGCTGCCCAGATTTGTTTTTGCTATTCTAGGTCTCTTCTGGT